AGCCTCCAAAGGAAGACAAGGGCAGCTAAAAGCCATTTTTTATTATGTTAATCACCATATATTACATCATTAGTTTTTAATGTAGTGTTCCATGATCCATTGTTTGCACATTAACACCCAGTGCTCCATGCAGAACGTGCCCTCTTTAAAAGCCATTGTTTACGATTACATTAAGGTTCTGGACACATCCGCTTATGTGGAAGCTCTAAATCTGGTGAGCAGAGCTAGATCTCTGGTGGGAGCCCATCGAACTAGAAGGAGTCTGAGCATCCACCCTTCTTCTGGGCCCTTTTCAAAGCAGGAGACCTCTCTCAGGCAAGGAACGTACCTAAGCCTGTCTTGTCTCCACCCACTCCCAAAAGTCATGGGACCAGAAGAACCATCAAAGGTGACAGGTAATGGCAGTAGATTCCGAGAGAAGAAAATCCGAAGACCAGAAATCTCAAAAGACTGAATCCAAAGAAGATGTGAAGTCGAACTCAGTATTATTTTTTAAAGATTTTATTTATTTGACAAAGAAAGAGCGCGAGCACAAGCAGGGGGAGCAGCAAGCAGAGGGAGAGGGAGAAGCAGGCTCCCCGCTGAGCAATGAGCCCGATTCGGGGCTCGATCCCAGGACCCTGGGATCATGACCCGAGCCAAAGGCAGACACCCAACCGGCTGGGCCACTCAGGTGCCCTGAAACCCAATATTTTAATCTCTTTGACCACCCTTCCAAAAGCTGGGCTTAGCGGCACAGCTGGTAACATCCACACCTTACATCATTTTACTAATGAAGTTACTACAAGTAGAGTAAGGGATGAGAGAGATAATATAATGAGACAGAAAAATGCTGGCCTGGGTGTCTGGAGAGGAGGTTCTACCACTTAGAGTAAATTAGCTTCTCTGGACCTCACTTTCCAATATATGAAATAAAAAGGTCGAGCTCGGGGGCGCCTGGGTGGCTCAGATGGTTAGGCCTCTGCCTTCAGCTCAGGTCGTGATCCCAGGGTCCTGGGATCGAGTCCCGCATCGGGCTCCCTGCTCCTTGGGAGCCTGCTTCTCCCTCTGCCTCTCTCTCGCTCTGTCTCTCATGAATAAATAAATAAAATCTAAAAAAAAAAAAAAAAGAAAGAAAAGGTCGAGCTCTATAGATGTCTGAGGCCTACCTCTGCAAGTCCCATTAAGCGACATTGTAAGGTCAGGGCTTCTATATGGTATTTTCTAAAGAAACCTGATCATTAAAAGTAAGTCTAGGGGCACCTGGGTGGCTCAGTCGTTAAGCGTCTGCCTTCCGCTCAGGTCATGATCCCAGGGTCCTGGGATTGAGCCCCGCATCGGGCTCCCTGCTCGGCGGGAAGCCTGCTTCTCCCTCTCCTACTCCCCCTGCTTGTGTTCCCTCTCTCGCTGTGTCTCTCTCTGTCAAATAAATAAATAAAATCTTTAAAAAAAAAAAAAAGAAAGTCTAATGAAACATGATAGTTTTAAATCAGGAAGTCTGATTCACCTTAGGGTAAGTAAAAATTGTCGACACAAACATATTCCAATCCCCCAAACTGTTCATGTGTGTGTGTGTGTGTGTAAGGCTACCATTTCCCAAGTTTTCATGGCATTTCACAAAATGGGTTGTGTTCAAAATGTTTGCAAAATAGCAGGTTCAACAAAATTGTGGCAGACTCTTTTACAGAGAGAGGGGCAGAGGCGGGTGAGAGAGAGAGAATCCTAAGCACAGAGCCTGACGTGGGGCTTGATCTCACAACCCTGAGGTCACGCCCTAAGCCGAAATCAAGAGTCAGATACCCAACCAACTGAGCCACCCAGGTGCCCCTGTGGCAGACTTTTAGTTGCTTACCCAAAATCCATTCCTTACTTGTTCCCCAGGTTGAACATTACTTCAATGTGATTTGGGACAGCTTTACTTGCAACTATGGGTGGCCAAATCATTGTGCACAGGCATGTAACTCTGCTCGTTCCAGAAGTACCTCTGGGGATTACTTTTCAGGAGAGTATGCTTTGAGACTACTGATCTGGGGTAACTTAATTACAAACATTTAGATAGATGAATGCACTTCCTGACCAATCACACCAAGACGTATTCATCTTTTAGGCCATGTCTCACAAAACACATTCACTTTGGTTTCTCTCAATAAATTGGGGCATCTGGGTGGTTTAGTGGGTTAGGTGTCTGCCTTTGACTTGGGTCATGATCCCGGGGTCCTGGGATCAAGCCCCATATCGGGCTCCTTGCTCAGTGAGGAGCCTGCTTCTCCCTCTCCCTCTGCCTGCCACTCCCCCTGCTTGTTCTCCCTAATATATAAATAAAATCTTTTTTAAAAAGATAATAAATAATTAAGTAAATAAATAAAAACTTATGCATTAATTTGTGTACTTGATCATACCCTGCCCCCATTTTTGGAAAGGATTTAAAATGAAGGAAAAATCTGTTAGCCAAAGAGGGACATGTCTATTCAACACCTTGTCTATCATAAATCAAGAACACTTGGGAATTTGTATTTTCTGAGTATATGAAATACAACATTCATGTTAATCAATCTTTTAGACATAGCTGTGCTGTCAAGTAAAAAAAAAAAAAAAGCTGAAATCCAGTAATTCTCAGTTCTGTGTACCAAAATCACCTGTGGTGCTTTAAAAAGAAAATTACAGGTCTCTTCCTTCCATTCCACACCCCTTCTGATTTAATTGGTCTATAAGTGGCTTAGGCATCTGTAATTTTTGAAGCCCTCTGGGTGATTCTGACAGACAGCCAAGGTTGAAATACCGTGTTTTATAAATCACAGAAACTGTTACACTTCAAGATGCTCAGGTGAATAAGGCTGTACAATATGCTGGAAAGAACAGGTATCAGGGGTTCTGGTCTTGGTTCTGGAACTCAAGCAGCTAGGAGGAGATTGGGCAGATCACTGAAAAGTCGGAGCCTCAACGTGTTAATTCATAAAGACGTGCTATGGGTATACACATCAGGTGTTTATAAAAGCACACGATAACGTATAAGGAGTTTGAAAACTTTTAACACAGTATTTAATGCTATTTTTCTCTTCATGGAGTGTCCTTTTTCTCGTCTGCATGAAAAAATCTGTCCTCCAACTGAGTAGAGTTCAAATCTCTGCGACCGTCCCTGACCCAGTTAGAACTGTTATCTCATCCACATTTCTGCAATACCTTTTACATCACCCCATCATGCTGACTCTATTAACTGAACCTCTCCTACCCCCCTCCCCTCCACTGGGAGCACAGCATAAGCTCTCACAGATGGGGAGAATCTTTTTTTTTTTTTACATCATTCGTTTTTTTTTATCAGCAATAATTATTTTGTTTATTAAGTATTTTTTTCCCTTTTATTGTTATGTTAATCACCATACATTACATCATTAGTTTTTGATGTAGTGTTCCATGATTCCTTGTTTGTGCATAATACCCAGTGCTCCATGCAGAACGTGCCCTCTAATACCCACCACCAGGCTAACCCATCCCCCCACCCCCCCTCCCCTCTAGAACCCTGTTTGTTTGTCAGAGTCCATCATCTCTCATGGTTCGTCTCCCCCTCCGATTTCCCCCCCTTCATTCTTCCCCTCCTGCTATCTTCTTCTTTTTTTTTCTTAACATATATTGCATTATTTGTTTCAAAAGTACAGATCTGTGATTCAAAGGTCTTGTACAATTCACAGTGCTCACCATAGCACATACCCTCCCCAGTGTCTATCACCCAGCCACCCCATCCCTCCAGCAACCCTCAGTTTGTTTCCTGAGATTAAGAATTCGTCGTATCAGTGAGGTCATATGATACATGTCTTTCTCTGACTGATTTATTTCACTCAGCATAACACCCTCCAGTTCCAACCACGTCGTTGCAAATGGCAAGATCTCATTCCTTTTGATGGCTGCATAATATTCCATTGTGTATATATACCACATCTTCTTTATCCATTCATCTGTCGATGGACATCTTGGCTCTTTCCACAGTTTGGCTATTGCGGACATTGCTGCTATAAACATTGGGGTGCACATACCCCTTCGGATAGATGGGGAGAATCTTAATCTTCCTATCCTGTGTCTAGCAATGTTAGCTGAGGTGAACCAAAACAGCTATCACCTTATCAATGAAAACACATACCCCCGTAGAGAACGCAGTTACCTAGTTACCTATTTCTCTCCTCTTTTCCAAAAGCTGCATCTTTCTTCTTCAGTGTCCTTTTACTTGTGAAACTCCTACTTAAAAAAAAAAAAAAAAAAAGAGGAAGGAAGGGCTTCTGAGATCTGCTCTAGAAGTCACAACACTAATGATCATTTATTAAAGCCTATATATAGTAGGTGCCTGGCTACCCATTACAGAGACTTTATTTAATTCTCTCGACCCATCTTATAAAGTAGATGTTATTATCCCCGTTGTACAGCTAGATAATGAGGTTCGGGGAGCTTATGTAATTTGCTCAAGCAGGTCAGAAGGCCAGAGGTGAAGTGAGGACTCGAAGACAGCCCTCTCACCAGAGCCCGAAACCAACCGGCACACGCACCTGCTACATCCTGAGATACTCTGATGATTCCACTCCCCGGTGTGGCTCAGGGACAAGCAACCCCGAGTTCACAGGTCAACACTTGATAGCCAATAGAGTAAAGCTGCCACTGATCAGACTGGAAGGTGGAGGCACCGTCCCAAGAACCATTTTCTCTTGAAGTCTGCAGGAAGCGTCCCAAACTGACTTTAAATTGAAGCGCGCGGAGCCCGCAGTCCAGCCCTGCTCCTCGCACGAGGTCACCGCGATCCGACCAGAGGACGCCTGGAAACCTCTGGGAACGGAGGCGCGGGCCGAGCTCCGCGCGCGGCCTCTTTTCCGGGAACACTCTGCCACACCGCGCTCCTCGCGTTTCTCGAAAGAACCTCAGGCTTCCGACCTCCAGGCCCGCACTCCCCCGCCCGCCCAGGGCGAACACCTTCAGCCACAATCTTTTTCTTCCGCGTCTTGGCCGCCGGAAGTGACGCACCGGAAGCGGCTCCGCTCCCACGGGGGCGGGGAAGGAAGATGGCGGCCCCCAGCAGCCGGTGAGGAGAGAGGAGGACACGGGGATCCCGGGGAGCGGCCGGATTCTTGCGTTATGGCCGCATCCCCGCACACTCTTTCCTCACGCCTCCTGACAGGTACGGCACCCGTCCTTGGGCACGACTTTGGGAAAGTTCTCATCTAGTTGCCACGTGCAACGCCGTGGTTCCAGCTGGCTGCAACCTTGGGAGCCCTTGGCGAGGTCGGCTGGACACCGGTGGGGGGAAGTGAGCTCTGGAGCAGCCTGAAGTGAAGACGCTGTGGAGCTAGGGTCTAGTCTTGCAGGGCGGCCCCAGTGGTCCGCACCGCCTCCGTCCCCCTCCCCCGGGGCGGTGGTGTCCGGTGCTGCTTTCGGTTTCCGAGGGGAGGCTGGTGGAGAGGATCGAGTAGAACCTTGGGGTCCCACGAGTCTCTTGGTTTCTCAGAGCCCCAGTTCCTAGTTACAAGGGTAAGTTACTTGTAAGCTCCCTCGTGAGGACTGGCGAGCGCTTTGCCCTCACTCAGAAACCTTGTTCCAATACAAAGGGTTGTGCTGACAACGGTGATGTCACGATAAAGATAAAATGATACAGGTGATGACAACTATAGATAGTGGGCCACAGTCCCTCTCAAACTTTTGGCTTTCTACCATCAGCGTGGGCCCTGATAGCATCCTCCCACTAAAGGCCCTGTGACGACTGTGTGTTGAAGGTGGTAGGTGCTTCCGTGGCTAGGTCTCAGCTCAGGTGGCACCTTTTCAGAGATGCCTACCCTGACCACCCTATTTAAGGTGCAGCCCCCTGCCCCTCTTTTCTCACATCACTCTTATTTCTTTCCCCATGGTTAGCATAGTCTGTAATTGTTTTTGTTTTTGTTTTTAAGATTTTATTTCTTAGAGCGAGTGAGCATGGGTGGGGGGAGGTAGGGAGCCCCATGCAGGGCTGGATCCCAGGACCTGAGGGATCATGACTTGAGCCACCCAGGCGCCACTTAATTGTTTATTTATATACAGGTTTATTATGTGTTTCTCCCAACCCTGTGAAGGTTAGGGACAGTTCCTCTCTGGCTGGCCTCTGTGCCCCTAGGGCCCAAAACAGTACCTGGTCTGTACTGTTCACTCTTAATAATTGTTCGTTAATCCTATTTGTCCATTCATTTCAGAGATTAATTAAAGAAATGTTAAAGAGGAGGTGGGGAATTGTTTTGCCCTCGGTAGTTTTGATGATAACAAATGGCTGTGTGAGGAATGTGTTGCTGGTGGTGTGAATTGGAGATGGGTAGCAGAAGCCCCGGACTCCTTTTTGGTCAAATCCCGCTGTTAGGCCTCACCTATCACAAGCTCTCTCTGCAGTGCCTAGCGATGTTGATCACAGTGACTCTGTGAAACTCCTTTCTTCCTTTTCTCTTATCATATTATTATTTTATGGGTCTCTTTTGGCTGTGCAATCTCAGGGCATATCATTTGTGTTTTCTGGAGTTGAGTTTACTTACCTGTAAAGTGAGGCAGTTGAACCAGATGAGCTCAAAGTCCCTTCTGGTTCAAAAAGAGGGGAGGAGAGTGGGAAGTGGGAGCGAGTATAGATGAAACAAGATTGGCCCTATTTTAATAATTGTTGAAGCTGGGGAATAAGTATTGGGAGCTCATTGTATTCTTACGTTATTGTCTATGACTGAAAGTTTTCATAATGAAAAGTTTTTTTAAAAAGGTCTGTGATTCTTTTTTCTGTCATCCCTGACTGTGCGTGTTCTTTGATCGTGACCCTAGGCACTGATTCTCAGAGAGCTCATCCTTTCTTAGTGCTTGAATTGCTACCTCTGTATGGAGGTTTTTCCAGTGTGCATTCCTCAGCCTAGCTGCTCTTCCGCCTTTCAGTCCCAAACTCGCAGCTTCCAGTAAGAACAGTCTCACTCCACTGCTCAGAGTTCCCCAGTTCTAGTAAGTGGGCTGCATATGGTTTGGTGCTGGATCAGTCTTTTCAGTGCTGGTACGAAGACAGTTTAGCTTCCTGAAACAGTGAACACAGTTGCCCAAAAAATCTGCAGGAAAACCTGCTATGATCCCCTTGAAAGATCATTACAAGACCTGATAGGGAAGCACCATGGCGGTAAGGGCTGGAAGAAAGGCAGAGTGCGACCATATTAGGTATCGGGTGGTTGTGTCTGCTTTTGCTTCTAAAAATGCAAAGTATTTTACTGCCATTAAAAGAAATTCAGAACCTACAGTTGCACGTCTGTGCACTACATTCTTAAAAGCTCTACCATTGTGACTCAGTGTGACGTTGAATGGTGGATATGGTCACGTTAGCAGATTTTTAATGTAACTCTCGTAAGCTCTGGGTATCTTCAGAACGACATTTGTTATCCAGGGCTGAACTGTCTTTCAATTTCTAGGAACTGATTTATAGAAATGGGACATGTTTTGCCTAAATGAAGTGTTTTCATCATTTGAAAGTGCAGTTTCCAGCTGGTTTCTTTTTTTCCTTACTACTATTCTGTAAAATCTCAGTTTGACCCACTTAACCTTGAGAGATGTTTTCCGAGGTGGTTCTTTCCCTCCCAGCAACTTGTATTTCTCATTGGACCAAATGACCTCAAAATTTGAAATTAAGGCCCAAACAATAAAACTTTGATGTTTTTTGATGTAATCTTTTATGTATATTATTTTACTTTATTTATTTATTTGAGAGAAAGAGAGTGTGCACATGCACACGAGCAGGGGGAGGGGCAGAAGGAGAGGGAGAAGGAGAAGCAGACTCCCCACTGAGCGGGTCGCTCACAGGGGTAGGGGGGGTCAACCCCAGGACCCCGGGATCATGACCTGAGCCGAAAGCAGATGCTTAACCAACTGAGCCACCCAGGCGCCCCGACATAATCTTTTAATGTTAAAATCCTATCTCCCCAAAGAATAATGTCAGGGCAAAAGAAGGAAAATTGTACGCCGTCAAACAAAACAAGCAAACCCTTGAGTATCAGGACTCATTTGAAAGGAAATTTCAGAGGACTGATTTCAGTGCTTATTCCGTCCTGTACTCTGCATATGCAGGCAACGCATATTCCCGTATATGGAAAATAAGCATTTCATAATTAACTGAGATTGGAGAGTATGATTCCAGTGAAGAAGTGACTTATCTCCGGTCTACGATAATTGCCGTGTATTCTGAGGGGCACTGATACTTCCGAGTAAGTTATGTAGAAAATCTAGGCAGCGAACATGATTTCCATGTTGCAGAGAAAGCACTCTGTCAACTTTTGTAGCAGAGGTGAGTGGAGAATCTCTGCCATCAAGGAACCCAAAACTATGATGGTGGAAACAAATGGAAACAATTGGCAGTAAGAAGTTCCAAGAAAAAGAGTATAAAGTGACAGAGTAATTGAAAAGAGACTTTGGAAATTTGACAAGCAGAGAGTGGAGGCAAGGCACGGCCAGCAGCGAAGCATCCACAAAAATGAACAAATTGTGAAAATGTGTGGTGGGCTTAGTGGAGAGTGATCAGTTACGCGTCAGTTACGAGTACGTGTCTGGGCGTGTAATGTCTATCCTGGGCTTCCCAGAGAAAACCCGTCCATTACAACCCATCCCTGTGATACTAGGAGAGCAGTTGGCGGTAGACTTGATGACCCTGGAAATGAGTGAAAGCTTAGGAATTACCCTATAATTGCATTTGCTCGGGGACAATATGTAGTAGGACACGATTGTCTTAAAGTGGCCAGGCACGGCAAGAGCAGATGAGTGCTGGTGGTGGAGAATGAGAAATGTTTTGGGTCGTGGAAGCCATGGGACCATCACTTACATGGCCTTACACGGAAGCATTGGATTCGTTATTCGAGAGAAGGTTTGGTTTGATTAAAAGTCAAATTCAGACCACAGCTCTTTTGCTTCTTCCTGCCTAGATTGATAGAGCCAAACTTCACTGAGGACTATTTCCCCTCCCTTTCGGTTAGTTGTCTTACCCAGCATGGCCAAAGTATTAATCTGAAATGTATTTTCCAGTTTACTGTCACTGAGAAAACCTGTGTTTCTCATTTTCCACTATTTTAAAAGTGACTGAACTGATTGTTTTATATTTTTCTCAAAACAATCTACAGTGTGGTCATTTCAGCACTTCATATAATAAAAGTATAATGATCCCGAAATGAAAAATTGCCCTATCCCTGCTGAAGAATTTACACTTAGTGAATCGAGGGGATACGTGGCAGTGATGCCCAAATCCGGTCAGAGTTCTGACCCTTCACACGTCCCGTTGCTTATGGTGGTGGCCAGCTTTGCTTCTGGGTAGACACAGTCAGGTTTTGGTGAGAAGCACTAATCACGTGAACCTTTCGCTTTTCTCCATACAGGTTGGGTAGGAGGATGTGTCTGGTATCTACAAAGAAGAGCTATGCAGGAATCCCCTCACACATTCGTGCATCTTTTCAGGAATGTCAATAAGCAGTGGATTACATTTCAGCACTTGTCCTTCCTCAGGCGCATGGTATGTTCAGAAGACCATTCTCACTCGGCTGCTGTCTGCCTTTACTTTCTTTGTATGAGGGAATTTGAGAAATTCCTATTAAAAGAAGAGTTGTAAGAAGTACTGCTTGAAAAAGACTTTTGTTTAGTGTCCTTTTGGCGTTTATCCAAAACTTTAATTCCTTGTTTTGATTATTCTTAACTAAAACCAGAATAGTCCTGGCATTGGAGGTTAAATGTATGATCTTGAACTTACTGATTAAGTTTGGAGAAAGATTGAAAACTTCTGGCATATTTTACCTAGGAGAAAATTAGGAAAAGCTGAACTGTTATCATATATCTCTTTAAATTCTTTAAAGTTCTATGAATATATCAATGATATAGAAATAATTTCTTTAACAGTGTGACCTTCCTGTTTTCCTACATCAGCAGTGCATCTAAAAGTCTTCTAAATGCATGCACCTCTGAGTAGTTTTTGTAGCAAATTGAGTTTTTAGAATTTGCTAGGCATTTTTTTAAATTTTTTTTATTGCTGTGTTAATCACCATACATTACATCATTAGTTTTTGATGTAGTGTTCCATGATTCATTGTTTGTGCATAAAACCCAGTGCTCCACGCAGAACGTGCCCTCTTTAATACCCATCACCAGGCTAACCCATCCCCCCACCCCCCTCCCCTCTAGAACCCTCTGCTAGGCATTTTATAGTGGGCATTACTCATACATCCTGGTCCTCTAGGTTGGTTCCATGATATTGTGGGCAACATGGTAGCTTATTCCTAATTACCAGTGAGGACATTTGCCTTTAAATAGAAAAGTATAGAATGGAGATAGTTAAAAACTCATAATTATGATGCAAGCGTGAATGATTAGCAAGTTCATGATCTCAAATCTGATTTGGCACTTCTCTTTTTTTAACTTAGAATGCCCACTTTAACTTAAAATGTAAAATTAACTTAAAATCTTAATGAAACTCATTATTTTGATAGGGGATTTACATTTCCAGAAATGTTCAGATTTCTTACTTTGGGGATCAAGGGTAATGGGTATTTAGAAGAGAAACTCAAGTATGTATAATGCCTTATGTGCACAGAATTCTGGGTTCATTCATGAGTTTGTAATTCCTTTCTAGAACTAGTGTGTGTAATTTCAAGTCTTTGATGTAACAGAAAAATCATTTAACTGGTTATCAGAGCAGGTGGTTCCGAGGACCAGGGCCACTTATAACTAACTGATTGTTGACTCTTGTCAGTTACAACTAAGTAGTTGTTGACTCTGTCACTTTATTTCTGAGCCTTAGTTTTCTCTTCTGTAAGTTAAAGAAAGAGATACTGATAACGATCCGGCTTCTTAAATGGCCTTTAGAAAAGCACAAATAAGATATATACTTTATAAACTATGAAGATCTATATTATGTAAAACTACACAGTGCCTCACTATGTTAGTAATAGTTAACTGCTGCTTGCTAGTAAGCGATAGAGACTGCCAGACTGTAAAGCTCACTTTCTTTCCACACACACACTGCTCTAACGTAACCGAGCCCTGAACTATACCCTACTGCCGAGCCCCTCTCTGCCCTGTTTGCCTAGAAATGTGGAAAGTCAACAGGTTGACTTGGGCTCTTGATGTTAGAACATTTTTTCACTGTATTTGGTGGGGATCATGTTGGAGATCATGCTGGAGGGAATAAGAAATTTATTTTTCTTTCAAGGAACTTAAATGTCCAGGATTTTCTAAACCATAGAATTAAAAACCATCACTGAGGTGTCAGTTATGTTCTCTATACCTCTTAATGTAGTGATTTCCATGTAACAAACACTTGAATATTCATTAATCCAGCATGTATTTACAAAGGTATAGGAAAATCCTTCAAGGACTGTAACAGACTGATGGGAGGAGTTACCCAACAGCGGTGTAAGAGCACTTTGGGCCTTGGGTTTATAGTAACATGTACTTTCCTTATTTAGTATGTCACACAACTGAACAGGAGCCTCAACCAGCAAGTAAAACGGAAGCCAGAACCCGTGGCATCTCCCTTCCTTGAGAAAACATCTTTGGGTCAAGCCAAAGCAGAAATCTGTGAAATGAGACCTCTTCCACCCCCCAGCCTACCGTTATCCAGAAAGCCAAATGAAAAAGAATTGCTCGAACTGGAATCAGCCTCCATAATTGAAGGCTCGCTAGATGCGGGGAAAGAGATGAAGGATGAAAAGCACTGGAAAGAGATGAAGCTGCAGCTGGATGATTTGCCAGGAATTTTGGCGCGGCTGTCCAAAATCAAACTCACAGGTACTTTGTTTTTCTGATACAGTTAGGTTCTTACTCGAAACTTTATTTTTAGTTAAACGAAATGCTGATTTTATTACCGCACCAAGAGTGATATCTTGAAACTATTGATCCTCTGTTAGTATTTTTTTTTCTCTCTTCAATTTAATTGGGATTCAAAATCAACTTTTCTGAATTCTGTTTACACAGAACTGTAAATAGTTTTGCAGTAAACATATTGTACTAAAATTAGTCTTTTTTATCTGTAATTAAAGTAGAATGCTTATCCTGCTTATATCCTTGTCTTTTGTGTTCTTACGCCTACTACCCTTTAAAGATGGCAGTGGGGTAATGAGTTCTGTTTGAGTTCTGAAAACAAAAAGGCCTGCACGCCTGTGGCCACTGGGTCTCCGAGCACACCGCTGGGTTTTGCTTCTTGTAGGGCCTCTGGGATTGTCCCAGGCATGTGGGGATTTAGAGTGCATCTCTGGAAAAAAGGTCTGGAACCAGATTGTATGGCCTCAGCCTAGCAAACGGTACCAAATTTTATTGTATGCATTGGGTATTAACCCATAATTATGTCATTCGGTTGTCACCGCCGTCCGGTGAGTCAGGCAAAGTTTTATGGTCATCGCGCCATGTCACAGCTAAACTTAGAAGTAGCTTATTCTGGGCTAACCATGTTCAGAAGGTATGTTCTGGGTCATCCTGCAGCTTGAAGACCCCTTCTCTCCATTTCTTCTTCGACGAGAATAGGGAGAAGAAATACAGCAAGGGAATAATAAAGTTCAACCAGGTATTCTTTGAGGAAAGAAGTGGAAAGCAAATGTTACTGAGTCAAAATTGGGAAATGAACAATGAGACGAGAGGCTTTGGAGAGTAGAGAAGACCAGGGAAAGAGTGGTGTGTGTGTGTGTGTGTGTGTGTGTTTTTCAAGACAGTTGAGCCTGAAATCCAAGGTAAAAGGAGATGAAGCAGGTAACTTCTTTCCTCAGTGACCAAAGTCACTTAAAGAAAATCTTTTTGGGGGGTTGGGGGGGTAGAAAACAGGCATAGGGAGTTTGCCAGATAGAAGAATCATAGTAAGACTTACTTAGTGTAACTCCAGAACAGTGAGGCTAATTCCAGGTGGCATCCTTGAAAATTATGGTAGCTGAGCAAGGAATCACCACATTTCAATGAAAAGTTATCTTTTATCATTTATCATGTTGCCGACATGGTAAGAATGACTGCAGATACGATCGTAAGGATGTCACCCCGAAAATGAGTCCTCTCAGTCTGAAGGCAGCAGAATTGACCTCTGTCAACAGCAGGAGCTGCTTGCTTTGTGTGCATCATCGTTGGCCGTGTGTTCATGTCCGCATCCGCCTCTCGCTCTGCAGACTGCTTCTCTCTCACCGTCCCATTCCTGGCGGTAATAACCAGCATTCTTTGCTTCCCCCAGTCGGGAAACCTTAGCATCATCCTTAATTCTTCGCTCTCCAGTCTCCCTTCATCTCTGGTCCAACATCCAGGTGTTAACACTGGTGTCTTTTGTAACACCCGTGAGATTGCTCATCCCAGTTTCTGAAGCTGCCATCCTAGCTGAGACCCAACACATAGGAGCCCTCTGGTCACTACAGCAGCTCCCAGCTGTTGTCTCTGCCTCTCTCCTCCTGCTTTACCAATTTTCCTAAAACACTGCTTTCACATATTCCTTACCTACTCAAGAGTCTGCAGTCCTTCCGTATTGCCTCCTGCCTCAGCTCTGCCTGGCTTTAGAGGAAAGTTGTGATCTGGAGTGATCAAATTCTTCCCCATAAATAGACTGTCCCTCCCAACCCTTTCCCCTACCCTGTCCTGCCAATTAGGCTAAGCCTTCCATCCACCATACCCATCCCTCCTGCCTCCATGGGAGACCGGTCTGCCTCTTTTATATCTAGTTAGAGCCTTTCAAGAGTTCTCCATTAAGCTTTCTCTTGCCTGCTCTTGGCCCGAGTCTCCCTCTCGAAATTTGGAATATGGCTTCGAGGTCCAGCAGAACTTGAGTTCAGATCCTGGCTAGGACATTTACTAGTCAAGGGAGCCTTTGGGCAGTTTCTCAGCCTTGTTGAGACAACTTCCTCGCCTGTAGAGTAGGAACAATAATAAATCCTCAAAGAGTTAAATCACATAATGCATTCAAAGTACCCAGCAGCGGGCCTGACACAGGGAGCACCTCAAAGGTTAGTTTCCAAATAATTACAGGTAAACGTTTGCTTGTCTATTTAATGTATCTTCCCCTAAGATGTTCCAGGCCAAAAATCCTGCCATCTCCGTGTTGAGTATTTGTAGTCTTGGAGTCTTCTCACTTGGGAGAGGAAACATGATAATTTGAAGTTGTCCAGAGTGGGACAACTGCTAGGAAAAGGGAAACCCTGTCCCTCGGGGACGAGATTGTTTGGCTTGAGAGAGAGAAGGGAGGAGGGAGAAAGAAGGCGGTGGAAGGGAGAGTGGCCATGTTCAAGTAGCTGTCGCTTCTACGATTTAAAGGAACAGTGCTGCTGATGTCCAGTCGAGAGGGCAGAACAAGGAGATTCCATGTCCAGCAGCATGGAGAGCTCTCAGGAGAACGATGGATGGGAAATGGGCTGCCTCGTGAGGAAGTGGTCCTTGTCATTGGGACCATCCAGGTAGAAGCAGATCATCTTTGAGGGAAGTTGAAGGGATTCCTGCACTGTGTAGTGGGTGGAACTGGATGATACTAGGAGCTGGCCTCCCTTCAGTATTTGTTGGGTGTCTACCTTGTACCTTTGTGCAAGATGCTGAAGATACGGAGATACATGATTTCTTTCCTCCATAGGAAGCCGATCATCTGGTGGAGGGGGGGATTTTGTAGGCATAGACATATATACAAATAAAACAGCTGTGGTCAGATACCTCTGCATTTCAAACCCTGAACTTTAAGTAACCTTTGTGATCTTGGGTCATTAACCTTAGAGTGCCCAGTTTCTTTATCTGTAAGAGATAATCGTACTCACTGTATATCCTCATTGTGAGGATTAAATGAGATAATGCATGTGAGACACTCATGTGCCCAGCACCTTGTAGGTGCTTAATTAGCTATTATTAATACTATTATTCGTACTATGTCCACATTTAGGGCAGTTGGTGTTATGGGTGTTGTAGCAGTTGTATGTGTTAAGGCAGAGTGGGGACCCAGAGAAGTGAGTGTTGTTTCTGCCTGTGAAGGGGGTTGAGGTGAATGAGTGTTTACTAGGTACAGAAGGCAAGGACTGTAAGCAGAGGGAGAAGGCTTTGCAAAGGCAAAGAAGCTGGATGCATCCTGGCACATTCTGAAAACTGCAGATACTAGGAGTCATTAAGCTGGACCTGCCTGTGACACAGAGGAGACACAGAGTTAGGCAGGGCCACAGTACCATGTTGGCATGCATTTCATGCTAGGGAGTTTGGCTCTTATACCCAAGCAGTGGGAAGTTCTGGAAGGTTCTTTGGAGGAACACACAATCACTTTGTGTTCTGTCTCAAATATTTTTTTTTAAGTGGCTTAATTAGTACCTGATTATTATAAACTTATTGCAACGAAAATTCAAATAATACAGAAGCATGTATCTAAAACTGAAAAAGTACGCTTTCCGGCCATTCTAGGTAAAATCCCTGCTTGAAATGTAGCCTCTTCTATATGTGTATAAATAGGCAGATCTAAAGCCATGGATATGGTTGTACATTTTAATGGAAATAGGATCATTACCCATACACACACACACACACACACACACAGTTCTGCAGCTTGCCACTTTCTCTTAACAGTATAGCTTTCACTGAAAGTATTTGCCACTGTGTACCCTTCCATTATGTAGAACTGCCATTGTTTGCTTACCTAACCCTCTCCGGCTAAACGTGCGGGGTGTTTCCAGCATGTGGGAATCTGATTCCCTCCGTATTCTGTGCTTATGCATAAGCAGTCTCTACTGGTTTTGCCTCTAAGATAATGGAAAAGGATTTTTATGTGTGTTAGGTTTCATATTTTAAGTCATGATGGGATTTAGCATCTTTTTTCTATTTTGATCATTTGTATTTTTTCTTCTATTATTTCTTATACCCTCCATCATTTCTTACTGATATTTTTTTGTGATGTTTTGTTGTTTTGTTTTGTTTTGCCCCACTGAGATATTTACCTTTTATGTATTCAAATTATTTATTAGTTGGCAGATTTTTTTCTGCCCTGTGGTTATAAAAGCATTCGCTCATGTTTTTTCCTGGTACTTTTCTATTTTTATCATATTTTCTAAGGTTTGGGGACCATGTTGAATTTAGTTCCGCAGAAGGAGTAGGATTGATTAAGAGATCTGTGGTAGCGGCATCATTGAGCCAGGGGTGCCTGTTTTTGTAAATAAAGTTTTATTGGAACACAGCCATATCCATTTGTTCTGTGGCGATGTCATGCTGCATCAGTGGCGGAGCTGAGTGACTGTGATAGAAAACTTATGGCCTGGAAGACCTGAAACACTTCCTCTCCGGCCCTTTAGAGGGAAGAACTTGCTGAGCCCGGCTATCAAGCATGGGCCAGTGAGAGGCAAGCATGATGGCCAACACACCAGTTGGCAGTCAGTTGAGACTTGGGCTGCACTAAGGCTGTAGTGGGTGAGGAGGAGAGGGGACAGAGAGAGAGAGAGATGAGGCAATAGAATGAGCAGAACCTTACGTAGAGATGGGGGAGTGCTGGGAGGCCTGAAATAAAAGGTTAGGACACAGAGCCGCAAAGAATGTGGCTGCCACAAAGCAAGCATTCTCCAGTTCTCTGGGCCACGTGCTCCCTATGACCCTCCACCCGACCCACTTCTCTCAGAGAGAGCATAGTGTGGTGACCTGTGGTCCAGAGTCCCTGCATTCAGATCCTGGCTCTTACAGTGACCTTGAGCAAGTTCCATAAAAAAAGTAAAAACAACTCTGTGTGCCTCGGTTTACCCACCTGTAAACTAGCTAATGATATCTACCTCAAAGGGTTGTTCTGACTATTAAATGGGATAAAATTTGCAGACTAC